ACACCACCACATCCCTGGGCAGCCTGTTCCAATGTTTAATAACCCTTTTCATGAAGAAATTCCTCCTGATGTCCATACCAAATCTTCCCTGACACAGCTTGAGGCCATTTCCTCTTGTCCTATATAGCTGGTTGCCTGGGATAAGAGACCAAGCTCCACTTAGATACAAGCTCCTTTCAGGGAGCTGAGAGTTGAGAGTGATAAAATCACTCCTGAGTGTCTTTTTCTCCAGGCTGAACAACCTCAGCTCCCTCAGCTACTCCTCATATGACTTACACTGTAGACATTCTCCAGCTTCATTACACTTCTCTGGATTCACTCCAGCACCACATGACTTTATTGAAGTGAAGGGCCCAGAACTGGATGGAGCACTCAAGGTGTGGCCTCAGCACGCTGTGCTGAGTACAGGAGGACAGTTACTGTACTGCTGGCCACATTGTTGCTGATACCAGCCAGGATGCCTTTGGCCTTCTTGGCCTCCTGGGTACAGCATATTCTGTCCTTCTCACTCTTGACCAGCACTCCCAGGTCCTTTTCCAAGGCAGCTTCCCAGTGACTCTTTCTCCAGCATGTTGTGCTGCATGGGGTGATTGTAGCCAAAGTGCACAGCTTGTCACTTAGCCTTGTTGAATCTCATACCATTGACCTCAATCCATCAGTCCAGGCTGTCCAAATCCATCTGTAGAGCTTTCCTGTCCTCCAGCAGATCAACACTGCCAGCCAATTTAGTGTTGTACTTTCTGAGGGTGGACTCAGTCCCTTTGTCCAGATAATATTGAACAGGACTGGCCCCAGTGCTAACCCAGGAACAAGTGCATCTGTCCAAGCTGTGGGCTGCCAGCTTTTCAAGGAGAATGCAATCACAGACAGTTTGAAGACTTTGCTGTGTCCATGTAGACAACATCCATAGCTTTCCCTTTATCCACCAGGTAAGTGACCTGGTAAAAAAAAGGAGATCAGGTTGGTCAGGCAGGACCTGCCTTTCCTAAACCCCTGCTGCTGATCCCCTGGTTGTCCTGCAGGTGCCAAGTGATTGCACTCAGGTGATCTGCTCCGTAACCCTGTTGGACACAGAGGCCAGGCTAACAGGCTGGTAGCTCCTCAGATCTTTCAAGCCCTTCTTGGAGATGTACATCACACTGGCCAACCTGCAGTCATCCAGGTCCTCCCCAGCTAACCAGGACAGATGATAAATGATGGAGTGTGTCTTGGCAAGGCTTTTCTACCAGTTCCCTCTGTACCCCTGGATGAAACCTATCTGGTCCCATAGACTTATGAATGTTGAAATCGCTCAGCAAGTCACTAACTACTTTCTCTTGGATTGCAGGGGGACTATTCTACTTCCTGTCTATTCTCTCCCTGTCAAGGGCCTGTTTTCCCTAAGAATAACTGTCCTACTGTTAAAGTTGGAGGCAAATAAGGCATTAAGAATTTCAGTCTTTATCTTGTCCTTGTTGACATGGTCCCCCTCCATGTTCAATAAAGCATGGAGATTTTCTTTGTCTTTCCTTTAGTTGTTGATGTGTTATAAAAATACTTTAAAAATACTTTTCACACCAGTGATTGACCAGATTGAATTCTAATTGAACTTTTTCCTTTCTGATTTTCTCTCTAAATGACCTAACAGCACCTTGTATTCTTCTTGAGTTGCCTATCCCTTCTTCCAAAGGTCATAAATTCTCCTTTATTCCCCAAAATTCCTCCAAAAGCAAAGCCATGCTATGTGACAGATTTAGCTCTTGGCTGATTATGTGTACTGAATGCTAATTTGTACTGTATTAATTTTCAGCACTATAAAATCTATATGCATAATCTGAAAAAAAGGGTTTGCAGGGAAAATTAGGATGGTTATATTATGCGATGTCTAGACACAAGAACAAAAATTCACTTAGCTCATTATATTTTCCCTGACAGTAGTCTTTAGGGGATTTTCAGGGGGAAGCGCATACAAAATTAAAAGCATACACAAATTGCTCCCTATAATGCTTCTCATTTTCCAAAAATATGCCATAGAAAGTCTTCCTTTACTCTAGCTGGATACTGTAAATGTATCATCATAATTAACAAGAGAAATGCAACCATGCCCTTTTAACTTATTTAAACCATTATGAACTTACACAGGATGTTTGCTTCCACAATTCTTTATGGCCAAAAATCCCACTATTTAATTACATATAACATGCTTATCATATGTCCTCGTGAATGTGCTGTCTCATAGTTTCTTTGTATCCTCTGCTTCCAGTATTTCTGAGAGAGAGCACATAGTATATTCCTGCAGATCTGCTACATCCGTATTATTCACCCATTATACGCTCTCATTCATGTATTTTCCAAGTAGAAATTAATATTTTATGTAGTTTCTCCTTTCAAGCAAATTTGTCTCCTGCCCATCTTGTTCTGTATTCAGAACAGGCAGAGTAATATGTACTAGATGAAGGTTTCCAACTGTAGAAATGCAACTGTAAAGGATGTCATAATGATATTTTCTAAATTTCACTTCCCTATAAAAATGCTACCACAGTGTAAAATGTTGCAAAAAAGTGACTTGGGCCTCACAGGATGCTGCATTTTCACTGTGAGACTGAAAACCTGATCCTTAGCTACTCTGCAGAAATTAATTAGCTATGCAATATAAAAACAAAATCATAATTTACATCAATTTATCATGCAAACACATTACCTTTATATTTTATAATTTCTAAGTTTTCCTGCAAAGTCTTCTATTACATTATTTTATGTCTTTGGTCAGAGAAGTAAAACCTGCACAGCCAATGGTGATCAACCCCTGCTCCCAGAAGGAGGCAGCATTTTGTAACCTAAAAGAACTTGCAGATCATCATTCAGATAAATACAGACAGATACTTGAAGCTGAAAACTTTGGGCAGACTATGAACAAACCACAGACAGAAACACGAAGAAGAGGATAGAAAGGACAACTAGAACAGCACACTTTACACCTTTCAGAAGTCATGAACTCAGCTGAAATTCAGCATTCACACAAGTAGTCTCATGTTAGCCTACAAGTGTCTTTAGCAATCAAGGGGATCCAGAATGGAACCAAAGCATTCTACAGTATCTACTGGAAGAGGAGGAAGAAATACCAGCAGTAGAAAGATTACTGTTAACCAAAATAAATGTTCACAACAGAGTTACCTTGGATGTGTCTGAATGGACTGCAGAGACTGCAGTATAGATTTACCTATAGCAGGTACTCTGAATACTTAGTGTAAAACATTAAGTACAATGCATGAATACAAAAAAATGTAGTCCTATGACTAAGCAGTCTAACTGTTCCAAAATCAAGACTCCAGAAAATTGGAGTTCCATGTATCAGTTTAGATGGAGCAGGTAACCTTGCTGCATTGGTGAATTTCCAGTGAACTTCCAATGAAAAAGGAAGAATAGGCTATATCTGTCAATAGAGAGGAACAATATATTTTTGCTACTTGTATACTTGACGATCTGATTATCTTAAAATCATTCCTCCTTGCTTTTCTTTGGATTCTCTCAGTCCCAGCATTTTACCTCTGGAAATATAGACACTGTTTTTGAGAAAGGATAAGGTATGAACGAGCCACATTGCTGACTTGCTCTCCTTAATGTGACATATGCAGCCACTGTCTCAGCATAGTTTCCCAGTTCTACAAAGATGTTATGTTGATTTTCACTAAAGAAAAGAAGAAAGCAAATTTCAGGGAAGGCAAACACTCTGGATGGAAAAGGTATGTGACTTAGTTATAATTTCAAACTGTATGCTTCAAAACTGCTTTTTTGGATGACATATGATAAGATAAAATGAAAAAGATTATGCAAAGAATTGTTAATTCCCCCACTCTCATTTCAACATAATTTAAAAAAACAGTTTATAAATAGAGATCATAGAATTTAAAGCAAGGTAGTAATCAGGATGTTAATGCTTATTTTTTTCCAGAAAAGCAAATAACAGAACAAAGTGTATAATAGACTCTATTTTCTAATTTCTTTTCCAATGCAGATATAGCATTATCAGTCTTAATCACATAGATGACTGCAAGATGGATAAATCTTCTAAGACAACTGCGTTTTCAGAAATATTTTGTTCATTCTGGCCAATGATGAAAAAAAGCTATTTACTTGTACAAAATATATTCTGTAGTAAAATCAATGGCACTCAATCTTAATTTTAGCATCTCATTTCAAGGCTGTATCCAACACTGTGATATTAACAATATTTCTCTTAAAATAAATGTCATGAAAAGGAACAGAACAGCACAGCTCTTTTCTTTCATAAACTTATTTAGAAACTAGTTTAGAAACTAGGGTTTGTAAAGTAATTTTTGAAATTGTAACACTCACCAAACACCTTAACTTCTTAATAGCTTGTCTGCTACTAGTGTAAAAACACATATTTTTGAAATAAAGTGATTATTTTATTCTCAAAATCTGAAACTATAAATATTAGTTGAAAAATCCCCTGTAACTCCCAATAAACAAACAAATAAAACCAAGCAAACAGTCTGAGAAAAAAGTATAGAAAGGTGAATAGATCTGTTCTGACACAGTCCTTATGCAGTTTTTTTAGAATATAGACAGAGCGCAGATCCAATTATATATGATTTTGAGATAGAACATGCATTTTTTGGAGGGTTTTTACATTGTTGTCCTCATGGGTAGAATTCACAGGATATGTATATATGGGAGTTTAGATTATCTGTCAGTTAACTATGCAGCTGAAAGCCAGGCATTATTTCACCTAGCTCCTCTGCTAGGGACAGATTCAGATGGCCTCATTCCAAATGGCACTGACTCCAGAGCAGTGATGGGATTTCCCTGACTTGGTAATGTGGGGTAATGTGTGACAGAAAATATTGCTTAGCTTTCAAAGCAAGCACAAATAATCAGTAAGGGACCTTGAGACAGCTGCTGGTAGTTAAAGCGCCGATTCTCTCATGTGTTACATTGTGAAAAGTGAAAACTGAACACTATTTAAATTAATTAAAAAATGCACAACGGACACCATATCACTAAGAAAGCCAGTAACTTTACTGATTTGTCTGCAAAATACAAATTATACCTTATTTCCAGCAGGAGAATCTTTTGAAATTTTCCCATTTTTGTTCACTACAGACAGCTGAATTAAGTCCCTTGAGATACACAGATGTGGTTTAACTTAGTTATAACATCTTGTCATCTAGTGGCGACAAAGTCCAGCTTATGCCGCTGTGAGCCTCTATTTTAATATTTGTTGCAAATGCTTGTATGCTCCCATTTACAAGCTATTTTGTTATCACCATTATTTTATGGAAGCAAATCCCCATGAAAGAGAAGAAAAAAAGAAAAAAAGGATACAACAAACCATCTGAAGCAATCCAAGTAATGCCTGTGGTAACCCAGGTCTGATATTAAATACACAAAAGACTTTAGCACTGCATTTTTAATTTTTAATTTTTTAAAAAATTACTTTCTTAAATGACCTTTTTTTTTGAATCAAACAGAGGTATGGATCAATTTGAGGTATGAGAAGGGAAGGTAGAAATGCAACATGTGACTATGAAAATAATCAAATGTATAGTTTTGATGCAGAAAGTCTGTGGCTCAAAGCTTGGATTGCTCCACATCTTTGGTTAAAATATATTAACAAAAGCCTTTTATTACATCTACAGTCTGAAGCGTTCTAACAGATACCAATGTTCCATCAGTCCTTCAAGAGACCTGTAGTGGCAGGAAATTAATGCCATATAACTGACGACATCACAGCAGATGGCACAAACAGGAACAGATGAAGTATGCCATGTTTAGGCAACAGCCTTTATTGAGGTTTCAAGTGGCTTTTAAAAAATTACAAAGCATTTACCTTCAAGGTGAAGGAAGGAGAACAAAACAGCTGTTAGACTACAGATAAAAGTGGGTATATAGGATTGCAAATACAATACAAAAGGGTTGATGTCCTTGAAAACAGCCTGTGAGTTCAATTCTTATGCTAGCTTTACCTGAAAAAAGATCTGAGGACAACAGCTAATTTGTACACTAGTCATTAAAAACTGCTAAATTCCTCTTCTGGGAAAAATATAAGCCATTTTGTTATAAACCACAATTTTTGAGAGACACTGAAATGAAAGCAGCTTTACTGTGAATGGCTCAATGCATACAATATATATGTTGTGCAGATAGAGTATATCATATAATTGTCACTAGCAATTAAACACTAACTGACAACACCTTTTAATAGAGACTAGCTTATCTATAACAATAGCAGGTGTCTAGAATGCCACTTCAGGTGTTTGAACTTACAATTAAGAATGTTGCCTAAAACATCATATAGCATGGGTTAAGGTAAAATAAATGTTAATACTCTTTCAGGGCTCTGCCCCAAACTCCTTAAATACAAAGGAATCACACAATAAACCCAAATTAGCTTTTGCAAATACAATAAATGGTAAGATACAGATAAAAGATAAAAGAAAGGTAGACAGTTATAGTTTACGGAAAGTGACTTCACAATCAAAGTTGTGCTTCTTATCATTAGATCAGTTTGCAAATATGCATTATCCCCCACAGTTTTGCCAGTATAAGTTAGTTGCCTTCTGCAGCAGGAACAAGAGGGCTGACTGGCATTTATTTTCATGTGATTCTGTTCTACTTGTGTTTATACAAAAAATCACTGTCAGAGTTAATATAAATTGCCCAGGCAATACTTTTCATGCTACTTTCTGCTTAGTTACTTGCAGTAAGTAATATTATACACTGCATCTTCATTAAATGATATCTTTCATTTTTTTCATGTGTTGCTGAGGCAAATCGCAAGGTAAACTATTAATATGGCTATTTTTAATATATCAATAGACCAAATCCCCTTCCCCACTGAGAAGTTCCTATTACTATTCCAATAAAATTGTATTTTTTCTTGAAATTACAAGGTATATTTGTGATACATTTGCATATTTTTGACACACTAAAGTTTAAAATTCTCAAAAAAGAATATGAGTACAGGTTAATCTGAGGGTGAAGAAAGTGGTTTAAAACACAGGGTTTTTGTGTTTTAAAATTAATTATGGGCCCCATTTTATCTTTTTGTTTTGTTTTGTTTTGAATTTTTAATTTATTTTTTGGTTTTCTTTTTAAACATGCGTATCTTTGTTTACCCTGCAGTTTGCTACATGAGGTAAAATGAATGCATAAGTAGCACAGTATTCTGCTTAAAGAGTTTCCAGATTATGTACTAGCCCCTGCACGGCTGGAAGTGCCTGTAAGGCAGGCTTCTGTAAGGTCATGGTAAGTGAAGAGCCTATGTCCTAATGCACACTGTAGTCTGATCATCATTCTCTACTACAGAGAAGTACACTCCATCATTTAGCAGTGCACAGCAACTGCATGTATAGGTGGAAAAAGAGCATGGATTTCACTTCAAAGTACTTTGTGTTGACATTTTGCTGTTGCAGCTATATTTTTCATCATAATGTCAATGGATGTAGTTGAGACCTAGAAGGACTCTTGAAAAAATGAGAAATATTACACTTTTACTATGGCACTAACATTTTGCTTAAACACTTTTCCCCTCCAACAGAAAGATTAAACTGAAACACTTGAACATACCATTTTTTTTCTAACAGACAAGAGGGACAAAGAGGGACTTGAAGAAAATGGCACATTCCCTCTGGTCAAGCTATCTTAGTCAAAGGAACAATATGAGGCTGGAGAAAATGTTGATGCCATGTGCTGAAGCAAGTCCTATTCCGGTGTAAACACACAGGGAGTGTTGCTCAACAATGTGTCCACAGTGAGATGATGTGACTGCAGAGGTCCATGAGAACCAGATGGCCAATACTGCCTGTGTAAAATCAACTGATTTTGAACCACCCTTGAACTGATAATCTCTTTAAGAGTTTTATGTCTGTGAGAGGGGAGGAATCTACACAACAGGCACTTTTGTGCTGATCCCTCCCTTTGCCTCCCCCTGCTGCTTCGGCACACATTTACCTGCACTCACATAGCTTACAGCCGTTAGAGCTGCACATTCAATTCAGACAGGCAGAATACCAGCTTCATTAATGAGAAAGGGCCAAATTACGCCACTTTGTCATTTAACCCATGGAAAACTACAAGATACGCAGGACGTTACGTAATGGAAGGGCCCTTAACTTGTTACAATGCACAAAACAGCATGAAAGAACTAATCAGTATATACAATGGATGGCAGTTCACCCAACTGATTGTAAAATGCTGTATTAAAATGATTTAAGTTGTTACACTATGGGTAAAGTCTAATTGTTTACAGATCAGTCTTTCAGCAGCTGACTTTGATCTGTAAAATGTATACCCACTAAAAGAAAACCGAAAGAAAATAGTTAAATGTGCAACTGCACAAATATAATTCCCCACTATCAAGAGAACAAAAACTATTACCATAATTATTATATATATTAGAAAGCTATACACAAGCATGTTAATTTCACAGATTTTTTTTTTTTAAAGATTCTTAATATTTTATATAATTAGAAATACACATTTCAAAAACAAAACTTCTGCAAAGAGAAAACAGTTATCTTGATTAGCAAAGCATGGAGTTCCTCAAGGCTTAGGGTAGTGCTTTCTATACAAAAAGTCCTTTTTGCTTGTTTCTTCAGGACTGCTTAAAAGATTAGCAAAGCTATCAAAGAAAAAAGAACAAATTTTGGCTTAAGGAAACTACAAAAGCCACAAATGCTTTGCAAACTCTGTCTTACTTTTTAATATGAAAATAAGCAAAATGTAATGTACATATTTTTATACTTTTTTATTTAATAAGTGATGCAGACCCAGAATTTTTGAAATTAAATATATCAGCCCTTGAACTCAATATTTCTATAAGTATGGTCCTCTTGAAATGGTTTGATCCTTTTTAACTGAGTGCCATACTCTAACAAAATGCCTGCATGTTTGTGAGCATTTTCAGTATGTTAGGTGACTCAGTCTCTTTCTAGCATAAATTCATGGCCACCCAACTGCTGGATCTGTCAAAACATCTGTACATTTTCTATATGTTGTATAACAGCTGCTTTCTCTCTCAGTAAAGATCTGCCATTTCTGGCAAATGTTTTCATTTTGTCTATTTACATTGTAAATAACGTTGAACCTGCAACATGACACTATCTATTGTAACATACATTTTGCAAGGGAGCACAACAGTGAAAAGAAGTTAGCCTTAAAATCTATTTTGTACAAGTGTTCTGTTGTACAACTCAAGTGCTAAGCTGATCTCAGCATTTCTGTTTATCGTTATACTGCATCACTGAGGCAAGTTAAAAGTACTTTTACAAAACAGAGTACCTGACTTTTTTTTCACACACGGCACATATAATGCATATGAACCCTTCCCCCCTCCCCCCTCCCATTAAGGTATAGCACACACACACTGCAAGAAAAAAATCCCAACTAATAGGTAATAATGTTATCATGTTGCCCATCCTTCAGAGAGCCGCATGCGCTTGACAGAGGGGCTTTCCCTTTCGTCCGGCGAAGGTCTGGTGAGTCCAATGGGGGAGTGGAATTCATTCCGGTGATCTTCTCGGTCACTTCCATCGTAGGAACTGCTACAGCTGCTCAGACTGTCAACAGGAGATCTCCCCGCCTCATGGCGCGTGTGCTGTTGGTATCTCGATGGTGTGGTGGTACGGTCTCTAGGAGGAGAAACAGGTTCTGACTTGATGTTGAGGCTTTGAGTAGAAGGCAGGGAGAGATTTGTACTCTGAGATAAATGAGTGCTAGTGCAAGCTCTGTAGGAGGAAAGGAAACTCAGTTACAGACGGAGGAGGCATGGAGCCCCCAGATATGCACAAACACTCACATGAAACAGCAGTATAAAGGCTTGCACAGGACCAGCACATGCAGAGATCATGGGGACTGTTGTCTGAGCAGAACTCATGAATTCTGGGAGATGATAGCACCACAACAGATGTGGTCAACTTTAGGGGGACAAGCCCTCATTTTGGAGAGAGGTCTCACTTTCAGGGTCTCTCTCTCTCCTTTCTTTAATATCAAGTGTCGACACAAGTTTGGGAAGGTGAACCTTTGCATTGTTGGAACCACCTTCAGGTTTCTGTATAACAAATACTTGTGTGTGTGTATGATCAACTGAGGTGGGAAGCATGGACTTTCTAATGAGTTTAATCCAATTAATTAGAATGAACTTAACTATTTTTACTGTGGTTTGTTTTGACATGTGACTTCAGATGCAAAACAGAAGAAAAAAATTCTGGTCTGGTAATTTTTATGCTTTTCAGAATAGAATTAAAATTACTGGTCCTAATATTGACATCAACAAAATAGCACAGGCAGGCAAGGATTTAGATATGATTTTAGGGTTTAAATCCATAAATCTATGATTCAATCCAGAATGAATTTGGGTAAACTACAAAAGTGAACCTGAGGAATAGTAGAAGGTGACAGACAGCTACACTGTTTGCCCATAGGAAAGCCAAACTCAAAGGATGCTACTAGCAGACAGACTGCTATTCTGAAACTTATTCAAAGGTAAGTATGTAAGTATTCTAAAGTTTTTATTTTTTTTTCCCTTCCTTTTTTGTGCATTTTTTGGGCAGGTAATGGCAGAGGAAAGATGAAACAGGCAGGGAGGAGAGTGAATACTGAGAACACACTTTATGGGAGAAATGAGATTACTTTCAACTGCACAACATTTTGTAGAAAAGCACCACCTCCTGGCAAAATCTGACTTTTCATCATTAGAACAGAATTTTCAATATGCAGTTCACATTATATTCCACTTCAGGGACCATTTGCTAAGCTGACGTTAGTGTCTTACCCAATAAACAGAATTTCAAGGTTTCTATTAATGAGTTTTTATTTGTACAGAGGTAGGAAGGCAGTAGGGGAAACACTTGACTTCACAAGATTTTAAACCTAAAGGGATGTGCAGGCATTTTTAATGCAAGAAGGTGTAATACTGGGATTTGAAAGGGACTTCTAAGAATGTAGAAGACACAGGTAAGTTTAGTGTAGACTTTTAGTTTACTGAAATAATTCTTTCTCTAGGGTGTCATCAACTGAGAGCTGAGTATTATTTAAACAGCACTTACTACTACTTTGATGATTTTTTTTTCCTTCTGACACATTTAAAATAAAATTATATGTCTTCAATATTGAATAATATCCTCTGATTTTATCAGGAATTGATGCAGCATTTAAAAATGAATGGATCTTATTAAAAAACAAACCAGCATGTTCTGCCTTCAATTTTTTCATCAATTCTTCATTCCTATACAGACAAATTTGTCAAATCTGCAATAGGCCATTTCCTAAGTTACAGAGTTCATAAGTAGTAGCCTTTACAGTAAAAAATGCAACCTTTTTCTTTTTTCAGAGTATATTTTCTTTGTATTGCTTCTGTAAATATGAAATTAACACATATAAGAAACCATAAATATAAGGCTTTGCCATTCCAACTTAGTGAAATATGTGAAATATTCCACTCTTCCTGAAAAGGTGTTAAAAACAATCCAAAGAGAATTTCTGGTGGTTTTTTTTGTTTTGTTTTGTTTTGTGTTTTGTGTTTTTTTTTTTTTTTTTTTTTTTTTTTTTTTTTTTTTTTTTTTTTTTTTTTTTTTTTNTTTTTTTTTGCTTAGGAGATTCTAGGACTTCACCTGAGTAAACAGTTTGTCAGCTTAGTATGATAAGATTACATATGATTTTACATATATATATATATATATATATATGTATAGCTTATAGCTAAACCTGAAAGTTCTATAATAAAGGATGGTGGAGCCTAGAGAATGGATTTAGAAGTGTTTGATGTGAGCAAGTTCCATGACACTTTGCAAAGCTCAGGATAATTAAAAAAGATAAAAATAGACAAAAATAGCCATATTCAGTCAAATTTGTTCGCATGGAACACACTGGCATTCCACTGTGTGACAGTATCCAAGGGAACAAATCTAGAGGGATAAACTGAATTTCAATGATACATGGCTGGTATTACTGTACTGGAATATTGCCTTTTAATAGTGCCTCAGATGTGAGTATAAGAATGCATCTCTACAGACTTTTCTACAGATTTCTTGTGATGCAGCAGCGGTATTACATAATAACCACATAAAAATTAGCGGCAGTTATATAAATGCTTCAGGTGGATTGCATTTTGAACCACCTTTTTTTTGGTACATTTTTAAAAGGATAAGAAATAATTTTGGCAGGTAAAGACTGAATTTCTGAGTTTTATAGCAATATTAAAACAATAAAAATAAATTGTAGCACTTATTTTGATTCACTTTGTTCTTTCAAAATATACCCTTTTGCTGCTGAAAGTATTTCTGAAATTTGATATATTTTTATTTGATTATAATTTGGAATATTTCATTAACATTTTCATTAACATTTTTGTGAGAAGCTCATCTAAGCTAAATCTGCACAGGAAACATACTGATACACATACATGCAAATAGTGAAATAATAGGTACTTAGGTGCAATCTTTAAATCTGTATTCTAAATAAAGGATTGACCTCTACCTAGAATGGAAAGTGCACAATAAGAAATGAGAATTTTGTCTGCTGCAAAATGATTTAATTTCCTGTACAGGTGTGTATAGGTGTAGAAACAGCTGTTTGCACTTAAATGTATCAATGCATATTTTACACTGTTGCTTCATATAATTACATTAATTTGGTCCAAGCATGCCCTATTGTAATAATGTGAAACCTTCACTAAATTCCCGGTAAACAAACAGGGAAAACCTACTGAGAAACCAAAGAAAATGATTCAAAGGTTTGTGTACAATTACATGCACTGAATATATGCTGGGCAGTCCACTTAGGTACACAACATCACCTTTTTCCACATATTGTATGAGAACATTTCATTTTATGCGGACAATGAAGAAAATTAATATCTTAACTTAGCACACCAGTCCCTCTTGAGGCCAGTGTAGTTAAAATTTGATTTCTGTTCAGATTATGATGGCCACATGGAGAAATGCTGCTTCCTATTTGGTTTCCACATGGAACATTTACACAGCTCTGCTGTGTAAATATTCCAAGGGGGGGAAGCAAGTTGGGGAGCAAGACGGTGCCATGAACTTGGGATGATGACAACTCTGTGTATATCTCCTGTCTGATTCTCCAAATGTATTGAAGCTCATGCACAACTAGAATGCAGGTTTGAGTAAGTGATGAGTGAGGACATGAATATTGACCACATAGATTATTCTAGTGTGAAAATGTGGTCTATTGGTTCCTAATTGCACAGTCAACTTGAAGAACTAAGAGCTTGGTTGCAGAGATCTCTGATTACCTCCAAGATGGTTCTGACAGTGCTACTGAAATTGCTGAGGACTTATCTGGAGCAAGATAAAGCTTCTAAGCCTATTTTATTCTACTACTAGTCACATTCCTGTCATGCATTGAGGAAGCAGAGCTGATTTTCACCTTTAGACTCTGGTGCAAAACCAAACCTGAAGGAGACCTGGTATGTCTCTTCTATTAACTGTTTTCTCACAAGTTTTTATAGCCTACTATTAACAACAAGCATCTCACTGCCAAACATTTTCAGGATATGACCCCACTAAGCACTGAAATTTGTGTTGTCAAAATATTTCTGGATGTGCTTTCTCAAGTATGTAAAGATGACTGTAATTTTGTTTCATTTTAAAAATCTTTTTGCAAATTCTAAATTAGGATATGTTCTACAGAATTTCAAGTTTTTCAAGTAATTCAAAAGTTAAAACATGCTCTGGCATATAGAACTCAGTGAGTATGATTTTCTGCAGTGATAGAAGACTTCTCCAGAAGTGTGAAGCAGCTTTCATAGCTGAATTCACTTACAAATCACTGAAAGAATAATAATAATAATGAGTAGCAACTCAGAATGTATCCTACAGCCACAGACATTACACTTTGACATTCTGTGATACAAATCAGAAACAGATCACAATGTGTGATGTATCTGAAAAGGTATGTAATTAGTTTAGGAGTTAGTTTATACTTTTTTATTTTTGCTAACCAAATAGCCTTATTACATTCCTTGGTATGGTACCAATTGTTTATACAGTAATATCTAACATGTGAACTTTCAATTTATTTGAAAATTTATGATTTTAGTTGTACAGTAAGTCTAAATGCTGACCCAATTATAAATACTGCAAACTCACAAAGAAAAGTATAAGCGAAAGATATTAAGACTATTTTTTTCTATCACATGCATTTCAGTTGTATGTTTTTATGACATTTGTATCTATATATACTTATTTATACAGAAATGAAGTTTAAAAAATTTGTTTCCTTTTAAACATTTGTATAACTCTCCTTAAAAGCGCAAATTACCAACAAGATAGTAGAAGGAGAATTCTGAATTTTAAGGCATGTTTAGAGTATTAAATTGTTCCACACTATGACAACAATCTCAAAAAAAAGGTGCATATGTGGTGGAAGACCTCTTTCTGAAAAAAGGTTTTCCTTTCAATAGTAAATTAATTAATTTTTTTCCTCATAAATACACTCTTGCTTCTATTTTTATAGCTAAACCTTTTAAAATTTCAACATGTCTGACCACACATTAGGCTACTGTACCACACTAGTGCATGCCTATGGTCATACTGAATAGAAATTGTAGATATCAAAATATTTGAAAATCATACACCTGTTCACTTAAATGAGCCAAGAGGTTGCTTGTTCAGGTGATTTCTCTTTGTGAATTTTCACACTTCTAAAGATCCTGAGATGATTGAGCACTGTATTTCTCTGAAACTTGAATAAATATCGCAAAATTAGCCACTAGAGGGCAGGAATACCCGTACTCCTCAGCACAGTCACATTACAACGAGTTTTGTAAGCTTACGGTTCTTTGGTTTAACAACGCTATTTTCTTATAAAAATCATCTCCAAATAAATGTAACTTGAATTTCACAGTTGAGCAGAAGGAGGTATGTGATTATTATATAAAGTTAATCTTAATCTCAGGTCAATTAATTATGTAATCTTACTTTATTAAAATAACTAAAATTTTTTCTAGTTTGCTGTAAATGTGCAACAGTAACTGAAAATTAAAATAAATAATAAATATGGCATCAGTACAATATAGGTGTTTGGTTTTAGTAGTGAAATAAAATCTTATCTAAAGAAATAAAAACTAAAAAAATAAACAATACACTACTGAAAAAAATGCCATGAACACAGAATATTTCATTGTAGCTGCCTAGCAAACTTTTCATTAATTACATTGTTCCAGCTTTGCAAAATCTATTCTTTACACACAGTGGATATGTTCTGGTATGTTATCTTGACATATTTCACATTTGGAATTACTGGGGAGGTTGAAGCCACTGTAGGACAGTAAAATAAAGAAAGCACTGCTTACCCCAATTGACTGAGGGCAGATGGTGGCATGTTATGCAGGTGTTGCTGTTGCCAACCAGTCACAGAACCAAGATGAAGAGCACTGGCTGTATTAAAACCAGAGAGAGATGATATATCTGCACTACTCAGAGAATATTCTAGATTTGAAAACAGAAAGACAATAATTAAGAGAGAATTAAAGAGGAAGCAATTAAACAACAACTAGCATAGTAATTTTCATGTCATTTTGTAAGCCTTTTAATTTTAATTACACCAATCACATTAAGTTGCAGCAGAAAAAGTAAATCTTCCTCTTCCCTCAACTCATTAATTTGGGAGCAAGTAACGCACTAATAATTATTCTGTAATCTAGCAGGACTTTACTGGATCTGGCAGATCTAAAGCACCCTTAGCCTGTAAATTCACCATAACTATAAACAGACAGTCAGAAAGACTTGAAAAATATAACAATTTGTTTACAGTCTTTCTTACAGAAGCTAGCAGGCAGCCTGTTTCTGAACAATAAATGTGTTCTCAAAGCATGTTGGATCTGTCACTGTGTGCACTCTGTACAGCAGCAGTACAGAACAGGAACTGTATAGAAGCCTTGAGACTTCATTTCTGCACCCTCACAGGTAAGAGGCTGTGTTAGCCAACAGTTACTGAACTCTTATTCCCACTACCATCACAGCTTTAGCGTGGTGCACTCAACTTCGTGAAATTATATCCAAGGAAGACTAAGGACTGTTAACTGTTTTAAGGTTGTTGTGTTTTTTTTTTTTTTCTTTGTTTGTTTGTTTTTTAATTAAAGCCAGTGAAACAAAGCTACCAAATCAGTTTTACTTCAAGCAAATCAGCTAACTTTGAAACAGATACGCCTAAAGTTAGTGACAGGTGCAGAATAAGCAAATGTAATGCAAAGGTATAACAGCTATGAATTTTTCATTTTCCCCGAAGAACATTTACTAATTTATTAATACTGAGATAGACACTTATCAGCACCTTGCTCCCTTCCCCATCCTTTGCATCCTGCACCCATACTTACCAGTACCATATGTTGTTGAGATGGCTGATGGGTATCCTCCCATCCCTTGCCCTGGTAGAGTAGGAGTTGCTACGGAAACCACTGGAGTAGCCAATGACTGAGCAGACTGGGAGTTATTTATCCTTTGATTCTTTTAAAGTAAGTAAAAGAAACATATTATTGACCAGTTATAAGTCAGTTGAATGTATTTGCTTTCTGGGAATGTTTTGCGCATGAGAAATACAGGCTATTACAAATTTCTAGAAATTAATCATTTAACATGTGGCTTTGATGAACTCTGCCAACCCTATCATTTACAAGCTTTCAAGAGACCAGTTGTCACCATAGTAACCCATTACATCAGTATCTCCTAGGTAACTGAACTAGTAAGACTGCTTTTATTGTGGGTAGAAGAACAGATCATGTGAAAAACTAATGAAATATATGAGCTCTATTCCCATTGTTTTCCTTTTCACTTACATAGGAAAAAAAAAACCTACCACAAAAAACAATGAAACCCAAAAAGCAAAACAAAGCAAAAAAAAAGGCAAAAGAAAAACCCAGCTCTGCTAGGGTTTGAAAATGAGGTGCACTCCTAGACTGATGAACACTGAACTCTTACCATGGGATGGAGCTCTCACTACTCCATTAGATTGCACAGCAGTTACACACTTTAACTCCATGGCACTAGGTGTTGCAATATAAGAATTACACTAGAGAACTCTAATTATGTGAGTGGCAGGAAAAAAGGGCTAAAGAGTCACCAAAAAAGGAGGCTGTCATAAGGCTACATCATCTTCAAAAACATAAGTTTGCATGCTCTCCATGCATCACCAAAAAAAGAAAGCTTAATTCTAGCATGCTTAATTTGAATATGTGCAACAAGGCATTTGGTCTTCTATTGCTACATTTAAAAAATTGCAATGACTTTTTTGTTCACATCATAGTTATTTTCCATGTTATTTCAACCAACATTTTACCTACATTATAAAAATAACTGTTTTTTAAAAAATTCATTATTAAGATGAACATCATTACCACTTACCAGAAGCAGATCAACATCCTCAGACTGATTGCAAAGGAAAGTAGTATTAAAAATTAGTAAATATAAATATTTACCAGGATGCAGGTTTTAGCTTAGGGAATATTTTCATTTCACAGGGGCAGAAAATTAAACACCTTCTGAGCATATCTTGGAAAATATACACCTCATAGATCTCTTATTTGTCCTCCTAATGGAATGGTTGACTCAATTGTAGGAACAACCTATCCAGTTTTCAGCACAAGACTTTCTCCAAGAATTCATTTGTCTTCCACAGTCTCATTGTTTGCAGATTGTCTTGCTGTACCTGACCACTCACAGAGTCTCTTGGAAAATATAATTTTTAAGGGGCTTGGAATAATAATTTGAAGCAGACAGTTTGTCACTGTCTTGATCAACTTTCAGTACTGCCCTGTAGGACTATTTGTCACTTTTTGACTTAGGAGGTAGCATCACATTTATGGGCTGTTTTAGTTTGATGATTAATTGATTTTTCATAAAGCTGAAGAAGTCAACTTAGAAGTTGTTTCAATAATGTTTGTTATAAAATAGAAAATTGCATCACTGGAATGACTTTTTAAATTAAGTTTGCTTTTAATGTTAAATCACTTAAAACAGCTTTACTTGGATACACAAACTTTCGAAAAGAAAGTTCAAGACAAGAACACAACACCTTCCCAATTCAACCTTCTAGCATAGTATATTGCCGAAATTTTACTAGTCCTGGCAGAACATACAGAAATTTCATGCTCCTTTTTCTCTTGCTCTGTCTATTTACTTATCATTACAGAATATGGAGTTCACAGTGATACGGCTCAAATTAATTTGTAACTGTTAATATGCCATCTGCTAAGAATCTGTTTGGCTAAATATTTAAGAAAAACATAATAGGTTAGAAATGCTCAGGGTTAAATTTAGCCTTTATAACAACTTCAGGAAAGAGTCAGCTAGCTGGGAGAGAGACTGCAGATGGTTAGGCTGTGCACAGTTAGGACACAGTTCCTACTTTGCAGCTCAACAGACAAAGGGTAGGAAGAAAATAAGACTTCAAAAAAAAACCCCAAACAATCAAAGAGGCTCAGACTACATCCTCAGCTTGTTGTCAAGCCCTAGTTAGAAAAACCGAACAATCGAGAATTTAGTTTCCTGAGCCAGCCTTGAAATTCCTAAATCACTCTTATCTGAAGTAGATAAAAAGAAAAGCTTTGAAAATTCATTACCACTGATGGCATGGTAGTCTTGCTGCCAGGTGGAATAAGCACACGGAGGTCTGGTTTACGGTTGTTCATTCCCAAATTCATTGGAGGTGGAGATTTTGCTTGCATATTCTTGTTTAAGTTGCCAGGTGAGACCAGCAGACCTGGTGAGTTGCGGGGGTTTCCATATCCATTTCCTGTTAAGGTAAAAAAAAGAGGGAAAAAAAAAAAAGAGAGAGAATAGTTTGATGAAGCCCACTGTATCTTTTAAGCCCTTCTAAAACTGTGAAATCAAAAACTCATGGTAGATATCTGTGTCATGTATCTTTGTAGGAAAGTACAACATGTGCTATATTTGGAACAACTGGTCTTCAAATGCTCTCTGTCATGACTGCTGACATCTCTGTGATGTCCTGAAATTAACTCAATGATACAATTTTGTTTACAGCACTGTGGCATATAGCACAATATACTGTGCCCTTGTAACAGCCAACATCTGACATTTGCCTTACAAAAATCAGAAAAGTCAGATAATTTAAGGGCATAAAAACTGTCAAAGTATTGAATATTTTCTTGACATCTACAGAAGATTGTGCCTTTTTTTTTTCTTTTTTTTCTTTTTTTTCTTGTTTTTCTTTTTTTTTTTTTTTTTTTTTTTTTTTTTTTTTTTTTTTTTTTTTTTTTTTTTTTTTTTTTAAACAAAGGATGAGTATAGCAAAGCTATGATTTCCACAAAAGGTGGGGGGAGCACCAGAAGGATTCATAAATTCTTTCGGCTCACTTTCACTATACTTCTTGGACCTGGTTCTATAAACACAAAAATCAATGGGAGCAAGATCATAACCTGATTGGAAAATACCACCATATCTTTCATCTTCTCTCTTCTGCAGGCCCCAGGAACAATTCTCACAAGCAAAAGTTTCCTTTATCATTTTTAGAAGAGAATATTCTCTAACCTCATTGCATTGACAACTGTGTGTCCATAAGGTTAATGACCTACCATTCCACTATTTCATTCCCCTGATTTTACCTCTTACCTACATAAAATCTAGGGAAAAAGATGACTTTTTAGTGTAACCTTGAAATTCTGTCTACACAATTCAAGAGAGGTAAGAAACTGCCCAGCTATAGAGAGGGAACAGCATGAAAATTAATATGGAAAGAGAAAACTTCTACCTTGGGTAAATACCAAAGAAACAAATGCTATGGAAGACTTTTCTGAGCTCAGCTTTTGCTTACAAGCTGCAGCACACAGCCTAATATTTGTGTGAGAGGATAAATTACTCAGTGTGGCAGAGCCCTCTGGGTCAGAAACCCTGGAAGTCCAAATTTCCTGTTTTCCCAAAGTCAGTGAAGACCACAATATCTCCCCCATCCCCCTGCCCCGTGTGAAATGGTGTTTATAGCCCTAAAGAACATAGATTATGGAACTAAATTTGATAATGTCTATGATATAGGCATAAAAATGACAGTACACGACAACAATTTGCTTCTCTGGTTAGGATAATGAAGTGTGTCTGACCCTAATTAAGATTTTCAAGCTTTTAATCCTCAAGTGCATCAGCCACTTGTACTTACCAAATCAGAAAATCCATGGAAAAATTTGTCAAAGGCTATTAAATAAAAAACCACCAGGCTTTGGAAGACCCTGAACAGTGAACACTAGTATTATGGCACAGGAAAATTATTAAAAACTGCTTGAATTCTGTACTTGTCATGTACTTTCAGTAACTGCTGTGGCCTGGATTGTTTTTTCTCACAATTTCTATTATCATGATCTCCAAGAATTTGCAATATGATGAAAATTTAAGACCGCTCAGATCACTTCTAATAGTCTGTATTAAAATGGCTTTGGAGATTTTGCACTAAAATATTTTTCATAGCAAATTTTGTTGTTTATTTCCTTAATAATATCATACAGTTAGGAAAACAAAATGAGGTCTGAAATGTATTTTAGACTTACCAAGCAAATTCAGCAGAGTGCTTTCAAAAGTTTTTCATTTTGTACCAGTAGGCTTTTTTTTCTTTAAAATGAACAATTATTGTCAACATAGATGAGCTATCTATTATGCTCTAATTAATGCTATGTTTGAAATTACAAGGGGCATTTTGAATATACAACAGTATTTTCTACCAGAAACCACACTGTGTTTTAAAAAAGTTCATCTTTTACAAACTGGGTACTGAAAATCAAGGCATGAAGTGATCAATAGAAGAAACTGAAGCAAAAGTTGGATTTCTCTGGTGTCAGTTTCATACAGGAGGTATTTTACCAGCAGGATGTAAAACTGTCTGTGAAATCTGTCAGATGACAAGGATTTGCTCAGGAAGTGGCAATGGAACTGTTTGAAGCACTACTGAGTTTTTTTCAGTTCTACAATATAGGACCTAAGATATATAGCAAAATGCATTCCACTGTATCCTATATATTTCTAGCTGTGACTTTTGGAGAATAAATCACCTTACAAGAAAGAACTCGCATTTCCTACCTAAGATTTACTTAATATTATATACTATAAAGAAACAGTGCTTAGGGGAAAGAGTGCTTCTGTAGATAGCTTTATTCTTCAGAAACATTCATCTAACCTTTACTGATCTAAAATAGTTTGAACAGCCATTATATTTATATTTTAAAAACATCAAATTCTTTTTAAGAACTACTTCTAGCATTTCTCTGCCAGCAGATTTCTGTTTTTTGTGGCATACTATGCCTGCTAGTATTTTGAAGCCATATAATAACAGTTCCTATTTCCAGACACCAAACTTATTCTTTTGGTATAGTGAGGATTCAGGAATGTAAGACTGTGGACCTTAAACCAATAATACAGAAACCCATCATTTGGAAATAAGTGATGAATGTATTCATGTGGTTTAAAGTTAAGAAGAATCTGCATGTAAACCAGCTCTTTAAACTGTACCCTTTTAATTCAAGAGGGCTGTGGCCTGCTTTAAGGCAGCTGTCCCACTTTCAGATAAATCCACCAAAGAGAACGGCTTAATTTACATTCAGAGGTAAAACAAATGCATAAGACTTCTAATGTACAAAGTAAATCTTCCTTCATACTATACTTTAAAATTACATTCTGCCTTGACAATTATCAATTTAGATGTGACCATATGCAGAACATATCATTCTGCTATCCACCTGAAAGCACAAAAATTATATGTCGTATATGAATGGATTTCCTGATTATAGATCATAAGAAAATGAAAACAGATGGATTTTAGGGCAAGTTTGCTTTACATTTTTATTTGGTTAAAAGCTATATTTTTTAATGGAATAGAACATTTTAAAATTTACAGCATTTTTAATTCAACAAGTTTTCAGAAAACAAAATTCCTTGTATTGTTTGTGACACCAATTTGTAAGAGTAAAAATATTTTATGCAGTAAAGAATTTGTTTCTAGACAAGTTAGTGGAGCAGCACGTGTTATGAAATTCAGTGCCAGACTTTGTATTTGGACTAATGGCAGAATGTAAAGACAAATGCTTTTTGAGCACAGAACACTCCTCTTGGAAATGCTCTCACATTTTTCGTTTAGGCACAAGTGCCATTGACTGTTGAATGAATTCCATCCAAGTACAAACTACATGATTAATCCCTATAATTTCACTTTTAAAAAACTCAGAAAAGTTATTTTTATGCACTGATAGTTATCCAATCAAGAAGAATTATTAAAAAATTAATTTAATAATGAAAAGCTACATTTTTAACTGTCCTACAAATTCATGTAATACTGTCTTAAGCATCTTAATCTTAATTTTAAGATTTTAAGGATACTAGAAGGGCATGAGCTAAACCAGGACAGAACAGAGAGCAAAGTTTACTTCTCTCTTTTCATCCCCTATTATAACACCTGTACCTTTAAAGGAGTTTTGGTCATTGGTGGTGTTACAGGCGTTGTAAAGTGGCTACAATTCTTAATATTCTCAGAATTACAACAATAAATCTATATTGAACATTTAAGCCAGGAAACTTTCCACATATTAAGATAACATGAAGGAGAAAAGAGTAACTTTTTTTCTTATCTCTCAATATTCTTGAACATCATTTTAATAATTCACAGTCTTTAAATCTTGAAAATTTGGAAAATTTTAGGAATTTGATTTCTTGAACATCTGAAACTGTCATGTTCCTACTTGTTCCTTTTTTTTTTTTCTTTTTTGTGATTTCAAAGACTGAATGAAAAATCCTCTATGGTAGTCTGAAGAACTAAAGTGGAAGAAAGAAAAACAAGATATACAATTTGTATGTCCTTTATTTAATCTCTCATTTGTTTATTCTAGTGCTTTTTAATGACAATATGAGTTGCGAATTTACAAGATCCTTAGGAACCTGAGATTAATTTTAAGACAAAATGAATTTTCAAATATTGAAGGAGTTTTAATAAATACTAATACTCATTACATTTTTCCAATAAGTGTATGGTTTTACTTGTGAAAACTTTAATATTTCTTCCAAGATGCATACATACATTAGATTTCATGGAGGATTTCTACTTCTTATTTGGTTATACTGAATGCATATCTCATATATATGACATTTTGACTGATCACCAAGGCTCTCAAAAAGAAATTTAAATACAGAATTAATATATATAAGCAGAAAACTCACCTGTGCATCACACCTCATGCAAACACTTCACTGTTCAGTCAGGTGCATGGCAAGCTAACCTGATCACCAACACTGTGGTTATGTTTTATTGCTATAATAAGAGCTGTACTTAAATGTTTCTAAATTAGTACTTCTAGTAAGTATTTTCCCACTTTAGGAGTTCACACCTTACATAAAAAAAAAAAAAAAAAAAGGTAAAGCTGCCACCTGACTATTTGAATTAGCCTGTGGCTACCCACATAAGCAATGAGGAACCCTTCAGAATAATTTTCTCATTGCAATTAGTCTTCCCAGATGGCAGGCAGATATTTCAGCACATGGACTCTCTCCTTGCAACCCTTAGAAATAGGCGTGTATATCATAGACAATGAAGGGCTGTGGTAAGTTATCCACTTAGGGAAGGGGAAATGTGCTTTCTTCTTCAAGGATGATCATTATTATTCCTTATTTTCTTTTTTTTTTTTTTTTTAAACTCAGCAAATAAACAGAGTAGTAGATGATCCAAGTTAAGGTCCTGTTTGGTTTTTTTTTCAGTCTTGAACTACAATTACTATTGCCAGTATGCTTATAATATAATGTCC